TTTTTTTTTAACAGTGAGGGTGACAGAGCCCAGAGAGGTTGTGGAGTCTCCTGCTCCAGAGATCTTCAAAATCCGCTTGGATGCAGTCCTGTGCCACGTGCTCTAGGTGACCCTGCGTGTGCAGGGGGGTTGGACTAGATGATCTCTAGAGGTCCCTTCCAACCTTAAGCATTCTATGATTCTATGATTCTATGATATTTGTCCTCTAAAGAATAAAGAACATTGGAATATGTGAAGACTGGGATAAAAAAAAAAAACTGAAAAACATAGTACTACTGAATAAATCAGTTTCGCATGTGTCTGGTTACTGTCCCCTCTTATTCAAATCTAGTATACTGACTGACTATGAGTAAAACTAAAAAAAAAAAAACTGTTGTATCTACATATCCTAGATTAAGAGTAATGCAGTTTGCTTGCTCTTGTTTGTGATGACCACGAGACGCAAATCAATGGTTAAAAAGCAAATAAGAAAAAAAAAAGTACAGTAAGAAGCACTGACAGAAAGAAGGAAATTGAAATGTGTTTAAATTATGTAAAAGAAAATGAAACAAAAAAGTGTTTTTAGGGTACATATTACATGGAATCGGCAGCAGAGTATTGCTGAGTTCGCTGAGAAGTCAGGTCTCCTCAGAAATGGTTTCTATATCCTTCAGTTACCCAGATTCCTCCAGGAGGTTTGGATTTTTTGAGATTTAGTTCAGGAACAGCAGACCATGAGTACTTCCCTCCCTCATCTTTGTTAAGGTACTGTTTTAACAAAATTGGATACCACTTTACTGTTTTTTTTTTTTTGTTGTTGTCGTTGTTCATTAACTGTACTGTTCACTTATGGGAAAGATCTTTGGATGAGTCATGAAAAGAAACAAACCTCATTTATCTCAGTTACTGCTGAAAGGTTCATACTCAGATGAGCATCATTTTCTCAGAGTTTCTCAGAGAATATCAGAGTTTGAAAAAAAAAGACACCTTACTATTCAAGAAAGTTATTCTAGGAACTCACTGGTATTGCACTTCATGGCACCTGTCCTCAGGTATCGAAATGGATTAGGTGCCACAGGCAAGGTACCAATAGAAGGGCTGCTTGCATTATCTATTAGCAAATTTAACTTAGAGATGCAAAATCTGAGCGCAGTTTAGGCAGCAGCAATGACTAACTTTCCAAATTTCTGACATTTCTATCATTTTGATAATAAAATAAAACTGTTCTAGGAAGTGGTGTTTACTACAGTCCAAAAATAGTGACTAGGTTGTACAGGGGAAGTATTTTGTGTGCAAGCAGTAGTTTTCTATAGACTTGCAACTGAAAAGTTATGTTATATTCTGCCCTTTCCTCAGCCTTGATGCTGGGGTAAAGGCAGTACTCCTGGTCTGTGTTAGCTTGGGTGTCGCCTCAGAGGTGCAAACGCAGGATGAGGCAGCCCAGGAGAGGCCTGGGGACTCAGATTCACCCACCCTGGACGCAGAGAAGGGCTTGAGCAGCTAAACGAAATATTAGTATTAGCTGTGTCTCTTTTGTG